TTAAAGTCTACTGGACATGCAATGCTTCGGTTTGGTATTCTCATTCTGAAAATCTACATTTCACAAAAATGTTATAACATCACATGTTTACAGATTTCATTATTTAATCTTTTATAAATTCCTTTTCTGCTTTGAGTAGAATGAAGTATTATCTTTAAAATTGATAACATATCATCTAAAATACTTAGATGATGTATGTATATATATATATATATATATATATATATATATATATATATATATATATATATATATATATATATATATATATATATATATGTATATTCATATATATAATTTTCCAACGAGAAATCACTGTCTCCGTATTTTAATGGTAAAGTAAATGGGATTTGATAAGAAACTGATTAATTTAGACAAAGACTGAGAAGAAATAATAATCCCTTTTGGAAATACGTAGAGCCTACTTTTGTTCCCTGCTTGCAATGTTTTACAGGTAGTCATTTGTTCTAAGATCTTATTTTGTTCTTGCAAATTAATGCCAAATGCAAGCCTGGAGATTCTCTTATCATCAGGTGTTTTGGAGCTGAGCAGATCAAACCAGGAATCAGTCTGACTCGTCTTTGGATTCAATGAGGCCTTCGCATAATACTTCAAAGACTTGGCATTTTTATGTTTCACAGGTAATTTGCGAGCCGTATTTAGATATGGTTTGCTTTTAGTTTTAAGCTCATGCACACTACCACTAATTATATTTACAATATCACAAATTGTATTTAAAAAATCACAAATTGTATTTACAAAATCACTAATTAGCATAAAACATTTGAATCAACAAAATGATTTTCTGGCTTCTTCCATGGAAACACTTGCTGCTTAGACTTCTTAAGGTCAAAGCTTTGCTTCTAGCTTCTGAAAGGTAAACACTTCATCTTTTATTTCTTTATATAAAGTTATTTTTTGAATCCTTTAATAGTCTCATTCAAAGAATGACTATCTTCACCGATACTGGTATTATATTTTGTCTCACTTTTTTTTCTTTTGATACTCCTTGCTTTTGCTCAAGAGTCCTCATTTGTCGCTTCCTGGAGTTCTGAAAATAGAGGATTTGTAAATATTCTACAGCAAAAAAATAACTCATTAGTATTAGTTATAAAATTCAATCTTGTTTAGAGTCTTAAGGTGTATTGTTAATTAGGAATATGCATAACTATATTTGCCATAAGTTCCAAATACTCCTCACGAATATTCCTCTATACTATTTTGGGTAAAGTTTCATGGAAATTATTCCACCTGCAAAGAAGAAGTAACATTAAGAAGTAGCTAAATTGTGTTAGAGAAGCCTCTCTCTCCTTGCTCAACACCACCTGCTCAGCACCGGTGCACCTCCCATCTCACTTCCTTCTGCTCAATATTATCTCCCGCAGTTTAGATTACCAAGAGATGCTCCCTTTCCTCTACTGCCGCCCTTGGTGGTACCCTGAACTCAGCCACATAGAGGAATTCCCCTCAGGTTGAAAACCCAATAAATGTTTTTCCTCGCCTTATTAAATGCAGTTTCATTTACAGCTACCTAAATTATAGATTAGACGTAAGATATTACTCTTTTTGTTGACTGCACTGCCCTATCCTGAATACTTATTCTCTATCTATATACACAGGGAAGTACAGAATATAGTGTACCTGTATTTACAGTCCTGTTGGTGTGTGATTGTGGACATCTTAATACAAGGACATTATTACATTACAAGTGGATAACAGTATTTATACGTACATGCATGCCACTGCCTTGGTTCACGTGTGGCTTTGCGCTGGTCTCCCAGGGGAATGGAGGAGCGCCCGAATCCCCGCTGACCACGAAGGGCGTCCAGGTAGGCAAGGATGGCACTGCTTAAACTCTCAACAAAAGACTTGAAGGAGGCCGATGTCCTGCATTGGAATCATGGGATGTGGAATATATATATAATATAAATATTTCTTCTTCGGCTACACTTCTGCTAGTTATAATTCCATGAATCAAATACCAACGAAATATCAATAACATATATCAATATATATAATACTCACTATCAATAATACGGTATTCATGAACGATACTTCAACCGCCATTGCCAAACAGAAGAAAACAGTAAAGCCGCATCACTGAATCCGCAGGAAGCGGTGAGGGTAGCTGGGAGAGCTGACCTGTAGGTGAATTAACTCGCAGGAGACCTGACCTGTAGGCGAACTGACCTAGAAATGAACTCACTTATATTAGAACTGACCTGTAGGAGTGCTGACCTATAGGTGAACTGACCAACAGGAGTGCTGACCTGTAAGTGAACTCACCCACAGAACTGAACTATAGGTGAAGTGACCCGCAGGAGAACTGACCTGTAGAAAAGCTGATCTGAAGGTGAACTGACCAGCAGGATAGCTGACCTGCAGGAGAGCTGACCTGTAAATGAACTCACCTACAGTAGAACTGACCTGTAGGTGATTTGACCTGCAGAAGAACTGACCTGTAGGACAGCTGGGCCCCTTGGCTGCTCGAAAGTCCTCTTGCCCCGAGGTTCGCCGCAGCTCGGGAGACGCGTAAAGGGAGGGGGGGGGGGGGGGCTCGCCCGACCAAAGCGTCGAAGCAGAGCTCTCGCGGCTTAAGCCCCGAGATTACACGCTCGTGTGTGTGTGTGAGTATATGTATATGTGAGGGAATGCCCGTCCAAAGGTGTTCTCAGACCAACTGCCCGAAATGCACTTATCTATTTTTATTTATGTTTTTACCATTAATTACTTTCATCTACAACATAAGCAGCGATACGAGATTAATGTGAACATGCCGATGCCGATATAGATGTGGGCGGGCGTGCATTCAGTAATGTCTCTGAGCGGCGCCTACATTCATTTTTGGGATATTTTTTTTATATATTGTTCTCTTAGAAAATACTGTATATGAGACTGATCCGCTGCAAACCCCAAGAAGCAGCCGCTATGAAGCGCTTGATGATACTTTTGAGGTCTAAATTAATACCTGCAAAAAAATATCAAGTCAGTTGTGGTTCCCGTTGCTTGCCACCTCGGCTTCTTTCTTCTTCATACTTTCAATAGAAGAATAAAGCGAGAAGCCCAAAAGAAGAAAAAGAGGACGGAAACACATTTTTTCCCCAGGAAGCACAGCAGACTCGTCGACCAAGGCAGCAGAGTGCCCGGCAGTGACGCTCAAAGGTGCAGCGCTAAAAGAATGTGACGTGTGTGTGTGTGTGGGTGTTTACACATAAATATATTTATAAATACTAGGCATATATGATAACCTTGTAGATGATTAACTATTTGCGTAAACTGTGAAAATCTCAAAACAATAACAAGTACTGCACCCTGGATGCAGTGTTCCTCACTCGCCTGTCCTAGATGTTGGAGTGTCAAGATGTGGCGGCCATTTTGCATATATATATATATATATATATATATATATATATATATATATATATATATATATATATATGTATGTGTGTGTGTGTGTGTGTGTGTGTGTGTGTGTGTGTGTGTGTGTGTGTGTGTGTGTGTGTGTGTGTGTGTGTGTGTGTTACAAGTGCAGCTAATAATATATATGAAATTATTCACATTTCTATTTTGTTAAAGAATGCCTAACAGAACGAAGAACGATCGAGGTTATCAAAGTGATTTCTGCACGAAAGAAGAATTAAGAATCCGGTAGACACGCACATGCACTCGTACTCACGCACACGCACATACACGCAATACGCACACGCACATGCACGCACGTACACGCCCTGGCGCCCTTCCGCGAGCGCGGGATCCCTACCTGTGCGGCGGGCGGCGGAGGCAGGCGTATGCTCGGTCGCCGTCGTCGCTGTTGCCGTGGCATCTGTTGCCATGGGTATGGGTGTGCCTGTTGCTGTGGCATCTGTTGCCGTGGCTATGGGTATGCCTGTTGCCGTGGCATCTGTTGCCGTGGGTATGGGTGTGCCTGTTGCTGTGGCATCTGTTGCCGTGGCTATGGGTGTGCCTGTTGCCGTGGCATCTGTTGCCGTGGCTATGAGTGTGCCTGTTGCCGTGGCATCTGTTGCCGTGGGTATGGGTGTGCCTGTTGCTGTGGCATCTGTTGCCGTGGCTATGAGTGTGCCTGTTGCCGTGGCTATGGGTGTGCCTGTTACCGTGGCATCTGTTGCCGTGGCTATGAGTGTGCCTGTTGCTGTGGCATCTGTTGCCGTGGCTATGGGTGTGCCTGTTGCCGTGGCAACTGTTGCCGTGGCTATGGGTGTGCCTGTTGCCGTGGCATCTGTTGCCGTGGCTATGGGTGTGCCTGTTGCCGTGGCATCTGTTGCCGTGGCTATGGGTGTGCCTGTTGCCGTGGCATCTGTTGCCGTGGACATGGGTGTGCCTGTTGCCGTGGCATCTGTTGCCGTGGCTATGGGTGTGCCTGTTGCTGTGGCATCTGTTGCCGTGGCTATGGGTGTGCCTGTTGCTGTGGCATCTGTTGCCGTGGCTATGGGTGTGCCTGTTGCTGTGGCATCTGTTGCCGTGGCTATGGGTATGCCTGTTGCTGTGGCATCTGTTGCCGTGGCTATGGGTGTGCCTGTTGCCGTGGCATCTGTTGCCGTGGCTATGAGTGCTCCTGTTGCCGTGGCATCTGTTGCCGTGGGTATCGGTGTGCCTGTTGCTGTGGCATCTGTTGCCGTGGCTATGGGTGTGCCTGTTGCTGTGGCATCTGTTGCCGTGGTTATGGGTGTGCCTGTTGCTGTGGCATCTGTTGCCGTGGCTATGGGTATGCCTGTTGCCGTGGCATCTGTTGCCGTGGCTATGGGTGTGCCTGTTGCTGTGGCATCTGTTGCCGTGGCTATGGGTGTGCCTGTTGTCGTGGCTATGGGTGTGCCTGTTGCCGTGGCATTTGCTGCCATGGTTATGGGTGTGCTTGTGGCATCCGTTGCTGTTATAGTTGTACTTGTTGCCATACCATTTCTTGTGATATAGGTGCTTGTTGCCATAACATCTGTTGTGATAGGGGTACTTCTTGCCATGGAATCTATTGTATTAGGTGTGCTTGTTGCCAGTGTATGTATTTTAGGAGTACTTGTTGCCACAACATTTGTTGTGATAAGGGTACTTCCTGCTATAGCATCTGTTGTGATAGGGATGTCTGTTGCCATGGCACCCGTTGTTTTAGGGGTAATAGTTGCCATGACATCTTTTGTGATAGGGGTACTTCTTGCCATACCATCTGTTCTTGTGATAGGTGTGCTTGTTGCCATAACACCTGTTATTTTAGGTGTGCTTGTTGCCATAACAGCTGTTGTTTTAGGTGTGTTTGTTGCCATAGTGTTTGTTGTGATAGTAGTACTTGTTCCTGTAGTGTCTGCTTTTCTGATAGGGGTACTCGTTGCCATAAAATCCGTTGTGATAGGAGATCTTGTTGCCATAACGTCTGTTGATTTACGTGTACTTGTTACCATAGCATCTGTTTTTGTAATAGGAGTGCTTGTTGCATCTGCTGTGACAGCGGTACTTATATCTGTTGTGATAGGAGTGCTTGTTGCCATAGCTTTGGTTAAGATAGGGGTACTTATTGCCATAGCTTCTGTTGTTATAGGATTTTTTGCCATAACATCTGTTGTGATTGGAGTACTTTTCGCCATAGCATCTGTTTTTGTGATAGGGGTGATTGTGGCCATATCATCTGTTGTGATAGGAGTGCTTGTTGTCATAGCATCTGTTTTTGTGATAGGAGTGATTATTGCCGTATTATCTGTTGTGATAGGGGTGCTTATTGCTATAGCTTCTGTTGTTATAGGATTTTTTGCCATAACTTCTGTTGTGATTGGAGTACTTCTTGCCGTATCATCTGTTGTGATAGGAGTGTTTGTTGTCATAGCATCTGTTATTTTAGGTTTTCTAGTTGCCATACCATCTCTACTTGTGACAGGGGTGTTTGATGCCATTACATCCGCTATTGTGATAGGGGTACTTTGTGCCATAGCATCATTTGTGGTGACAGTGGTGCTTGTTGCCATAGCATCTGTTATGATAAGGTTGTCTGTTGCCGTATCATCTGTTGTCATAAGGGTGTTTGTTGCTATAACATCCGTTGTTGTGATATGAATATTTTTTGCCGTAACACGTGCTGTGATAGGGATATTTGTTGCCACAGCATCTGTTGTTGTGATAAGGTTAGTTATTACTGCAGCATTTGTTGTGTTGGTAACTGTTGACATAACATATGGGTTTCGCGTACTTGCTTCGGGCTTTGTTGATACTGATGTTGTGGATGTTGGTTCTTGTGATGTGGATGTTGGTTCTTGTGATGTGGATGTTGGTTCTTGTGATGTGGATGTTGGTTCTTGTGATGTGGATGTTGGTTCTTGTGATGTGGATGTTGCTTCTTGTGATGTGGATGTTGCTTCTTGTGATGTGGATGTTGCTTCTTGTGATGTGGATGTTGGTTCTTGTGATGTGGATGTTGGTTCTTGTGATGTGGATGTTGGTTCTTGTGATGTGGATGTTGCTTCTTGTGATGTGGATGTTGCTTCTTGTGATGTGGATGTTGGTTCTTGTGATGTGGATGTTGCTTCTTGTGATGTGGATGTTCGTTCTTGTGTTGTGGATGTTGGTTCTTGTGTTGTGGATGTTGGTTCTTGTGTTGTAGATGTTGGTTCTTGTGATGTGGATGTTGGTTCTTGTGTTGTGGATGTTGGTTCTTGTGCTGTGGATGTTGGTTCTTGTGTTGTAGATGTTGGTTCTTGTGATGTGGATGTTGGTTCTTGTGGTGTGGATGTTGGTTCTTGTGATGTGGATGTTGGTCCTTGCGATGTGGATGTTGGTTCTGATTCTGTGGATGTTGGTTCTTGTGATGTGGATGTTGGTTCTTGTGCTGTGGATGTTGGTTCTTGTGTTGTGGATGTTGGTCCTTGCGATGTGGATGTTGGTTCCGATTCTGTGGATGTTGGTTCTTGTGATGTGGATGTTGGTTCTGATGCTGTGGATGTTGGTTCTTGTGTTGTGGATGTTGGTTCTGATTCTGTGGATGTTGGTTCTTGAGATGTGGATGTTGGTTCTTGTGATGTGGATGTTGGTCCTTGCGATGTGGATGTTGGTTCTTGTGATGTGGATGTTGGTTCTTGTGTTGTGGATGTTGGTTCTTGTGTTGTGGATGTTGGTTCTTGTGATGTGGATGTTGGTTCTGATTCTGTGGATGTTGGTTCTTGTGATGTGGATGTTGGTTCTTGTGATGTGGATGTTGGTTCTTGTGTTGTGGATGTTGGTTCTTGTGATGTGGATGTTGGTTCTGATTCTGTGGATGTTGGTTCTTGTGTTGTGGATGTTGGTTCTTGTGATGTGGATGTTGGTTCTTGTGATGTGGATGTTGGTTCTTGTGTTGTGGATGTTGGTTCTTGTGATGTGGATGTTGGTTCTGATTCTGTGGATGTTGGTTCTTGTGATGTGGATGTTGGTTCTTGTGATGTGGATGTTGGTTCTTGTGATGTGGATGTTCGTTCTTGTGATGTGGATGTTGGTTCTTGTGATGTGGATGTTGGCTCTTGTGTTGTGGATGTTGGTTCTGATTCTGTGGATGTTGGTTCTTGTGATGTGGATGTTGGTTCTGATGCTGTGGATATTGGTTCTTGTGTTGTGGATGTTGGTTCTTGTATTGTGGATGTTGGTTCTGATTCTGTGGATGTTGGTTCTTGTGTTGTGGATGTTGGTTCTGATTCTGTGGATGTTGGTTCTTGTGATGTGGATGTTGGTTCTTGTGATGTGGATGTTGGTTCTTGTGATGTGGATGTTGGTTCTTGTGATGTGGATGTTGGTTCTGATGTTGTGGATGTTGTTCCTTGTGATGTGGATGTTGGCTCTTGTGATGTGGATGTTGGTTCTTGTGTTGTGGATGTTGGTTCTGATGCTGTGGATGTTGGTTCTTGTGATGTGGATGTTGGTTCTTGTGATGTGGATGTTGGTTCTTGTGTTGTGGATGTTGGTTCTTGTGATGTGGATGTTGGTTCTTGTGATGTGGATGTTGGTTCTTGTGATGTGGATGTTGGTTCTTGTGTTGTGGATGTTGGTTCTTGTGATGTGGATGTTGGTTCTGATTCTGTGGATGTTGGTTCTTGTGATGTGGATGTTGGTTCTTGTGATGTGGATGTTGGTTCTGATTCTGTGGATGTTGGTTCTTGTGATGTGGATGTTGGTTCTGATGCTGTGGATGTTGGTTCTTGTGATGTGGATGTTGGTTCTGATTCTGTGGATGTTGGTTCTTGTGATGTGGATGTTGGTTCTGATTCTGTGGATGTTGGTTCTTGTGATGTGGATGTTGGTTCTTGTGATGTGGATGTTGGTTCTTGTGTTGTGGATGTTGGTTCTTGTGATGTGGATGTTGGTTCTGATTCTGTGGATGTTGGTTCTTGTGTTGTGGATGTTGGTTCTTGTGATGTGGATGTTGGTTCTTGTGATGTGGATGTTGGTTCTTGTGTTGTGGATGTTGGTTCTTGTGATGTGGATGTTGGTTCTTGTGATGTGGATGTTGGTTCTTGTGATGTGGATGTTGGTTCTTGTGATGTGGATGTTGGTTCTTGTGATGTGGATGTTGGTTCTTGTGATGTGGATGTTGGTTCTTGTGATGTGGATGTTGGTTCTTGTGTTGTGGATGTTGGTTCTGATGCTGTGGATGTTGGTTCTTGTGATGTGGATGTTGGTTCTGATGCTGTGGATGTTGGTTCTTGTGTTGTGGATGTTGGTTCTTGTGTTGTGGATGTTGGTTCTGATTCTGTGGATGTTGGTTCTTGTGTTGTGGATGTTGGTTCTGATTCTGTGGATGTTGGTTCTTGTGATGTGGATGTTGGTTCTTGTGTTGTGGATGTTGGTTCTTGTGATGTGGATGTTGGTTCTTGTGATGTGGATGTTGGTTCTTGTGTTGTGGATGTTGGTTCTGATGCTGTGGATGTTGGTTCTTGTGATGTGGATGTTGGTTCTTGTGATGTGGATGTTGGTTCTTGTGTTGTGGATGTTGGTTCTTGTGATGTGGATGTTGGTTCTTGTGTTGTGGATGTTGGTTCTGATTCTGTGGATGTTGGTTCTTGTGTTGTGGATGTTGGTTCTGATTCTGTGGATGTTGGTTCTTGTGATGTGGATGTTGGTTCTTGTGTTGTGGATGTTGGTTCTGATTCTGTGGATGTTGGTTCTTGTGTTGTGGATGTTGGTTCTTGTGATGTGGATGTTGGTTCTTGTGATGTGGATGTTGGTTCTTGTGTTGTGGATGTTGGTTCTGATTCTGTGGATGTTGGTTCTTGTATTGTGGATGTTGGTTCTTGTGATGTGGATGTTGGTTCTTCTGTTGTGGATGTTGGTTCTGATTCTGTGGATGTTGGTTCTTGTGTTGTGGATGTTGGTTCTTGTGTTGTGGATGTTGGTTCTTGTGATGTGGATGTTGGTTCTTGTGTTGTGGATGTTGGTTCTGATTCTGTGGATGTTGGTTCTTGTGTTGTGGATGTTGGTTCTTGTGATGTGGATGTTGGTTCTTGTGTTGTGGATGTTGGTTCTTGTGTTGTGGATGTTGGTTCTTGTGATGTGGATGTTGGTTCTTGTGTTGTGGATGTTGGTTCTGATTCTGTGGATGTTGGTTCTTGTGTTGTGGATGTTGGTTCTTGTGATGTGGATGTTGGTTCTTGTGTTGTGGATGTTGGTTCTGATTCTGTGGATGTTGGTTCTTGTGTTGTGGATGTTGGTTCTGATTCTGTGGATGTTGGTTCTTGTGTTGTGGATGTTGGTTCTGATTCTGTGGATGTTGGTTCTTGTGTTGTGGATGTTGGTTCTGATTCTGTGGATGTTGGTTCTTGTGTTGTGGATGTTGGTTCTGATTCTGTGGATGTTGGTTCTTGTGATGTGGATGTTGGTTCTTGTGTTGTGGATGTTGGTTCTTGTGATGTGGATGTTGGTTCTTGTGTTGTGGATGTTGGTTCTGATTCTGTGGATGTTGGTTCTTGTGTTGTGGATGTTGGTTCTGATTCTGTGGATGTTGGTTCTTGTGTTGTGGATGTTGGTTCTGATTCTGTGGATGTTGGTTCTTGTGTTGTGGATGTTGGTTCTTGTGTTGTGGATGTTGGTTCTGATGCTGTGGATGTTGGTTCTTGTGATGTGGATGTTGGTTCTTGTGATGTGGATGTTGGTTCTTGTGTTGTGGATGTTGGTTCTTGTGATGTGGATGTTGGTTCTTGTGTTGTGGATGTTGGTTCTGATTCTGTGGATGTTGGTTCTTGTGTTGTGGATGTTGGTTCTGATTCTGTGGATGTTGGTTCTTGTGTTGTGGATGTTGGTTCTGATTCTGTGGATGTTGGTTCTTGTGTTGTGGATGTTGGTTCTTGTGATGTGGATGTTGGTTCTTGTGTTGTGGATGTTGGTTCTGATTCTGTGGATGTTGGTTCTTGTGATGTGGATGTTGGTTCTTGTGTTGTGGATGTTGGTTCTTGTGTTGTGGATGTTGGTTCTGATTCTGTGGATGTTGGTTCTTGTGTTGTGGATGTTGGTTCTTGTGATGTGGATGTTGGTTCTTGTGTTGTGGATGTTGGTTCTTGTGTTGTGGATGTTGGTTCTTGTGATGTGAATGTTGGTTCTTGTGTTGTGGATGTTGGTTCTGATTCTGTGGATGTTGGTTCTTGTGTTGTGGATGTTGGTTCTGATTCTGTGGATGTTGGTTCTGATTCTGTGGATGTTGGTTCTTGTGATGTGAATGTTGGTTCTTGTGTTGTGGATGTTGGTTCTGATTCTGTGGATGTTGGTTCTTGTGATGTGAATGTTGGTTCTTGTGTTGTGGATGTTGGTTCTTGTGTTGTGGATGTTGGTTCTGATTCTGTGGATGTTGGCTCTTGTGTTGTGGATGTTGGTTCTTGTGATGTGGATGTTGGTTCTTGTGTTGTGGATGTTGGTTCTGATTTTGTGGATGTTGGTTCTTGTGTTGTGGATGTTGGTTCTGATTCTGTGGATGTTAGTTCTTGTGATGTGGATGTTGGTTCTTGTGATGTGGATGTTGGTTCTTGTGTTGTGGATGTTGGTTCTGATTCTGTGGATGTTGGTTCTTGTGTTGTGGATGTTGGTTCTGATGCTGTGGATGTTGGTTCTTGTGTTGTGGATGTTGGTTCTTGTGATGTGGATGTTGGTTCTTGTGTTGTGGATGTTGGTTCTGATTCTGTGGATGTTGGTTCTTGTGTTGTAGATGTTGGTTCTTGTGTTGTGGATGTTGGTTCTGATTCTGTGG